ATTCACATACACAGAACAGCCAAATACACATATACCAGTTTTCAAAAAGATCAATTACAAACACACCAGCCACACACACACATGCCAGTGAGTTCACAAAGACATACACACACATACATAAATCAGCCTGATAGAGTAGCACATACGTATACAGACACACAGACCAACCATAGCTACCCTTCAGACTAGCTACAGAACACACACACATACATGCCAGCTCACAGAGCTCACATAGACACACATAAAGACAAGCCACAGACACACGTGTATGAACCAGTACCATACACAAACAGGTCAGCCATATGAAGTCCAAAACAACTTCTATATATGTTTATAGGCCAGCCACATGCAGCCTATTACACATACCACGCAGAGACACCCCTGCCCTTTACCCCCAACACAAAGTAGACTGGCCTTACAACCCCTGCAGAGTTGGGCTAACCCACAGCTACTTGTACTGGAGAGACAGGCCTCTCACACCTTTCACAGGCCCTGACAGGCTAGCCACACATAAACTACATTGACCAGACACATTAGACACACACATGCTCCTGGGCCCTGCCAAGATGCCGGGGCCTCCTACTGAGGTGCTTTGGTACCAGGGCTTTCTACTCTGTGTCCCTCAGAGATCCTGGCACTTCCTTTCTCCAAATACATCCCCTTATTCCCTCCTCCCTATTTATCATTTCCCCCAGGATGTGGGGGAAGCTCTGCCAAGTCCATTCCTAGTGAAATTTGAGCCTATTTTCTCAGCACATCCTCTGTAAAGGGGGTACCCAGGATCTCAGTCATGCACAGATCCCCCCCAAGGCCTTACTAGTAGTTGGGGGGTGTCAGAAACAGCTTTGTGGGAAACTCCCCTTATACCCAGCTGAGTCAGCCTGAGGACACAGACTCCTTCCTGCTTCCAAGAAAACCCAATACTTTCCTCTTTGGGAGAGGGGGTGAAGGACCCCGAAACCACAAAGGTGGGGGAGGGAAGGTAGCTCTCAGGCCAGAGGTTCCTGGGAAAAGGCCTCTGATTCTTAGCCTTTTCTCAACCCTGCTGCCTATCCACACCCAGGGGCAGGGACACAGGAGACTGGTGCTAGGACTTGTGAGTTCCTGTCCTTGTCTGCCCACTGGCTGACTCACAGGCAGCCCCCAGCCCAGTTTCCCAGTTAGAACCTAGCCAGTCAGTGGGGGAGGGGGGGAGAGGGGTGTCACCAGGCTATTTATAAGAAGGAGAAGTCCCACATGCCAAGACCAAAAGCCCCAGAGAGACCATGGGTGGGGGTGGGTGAACTTCCTCCTTATTCTGCCCTCCTTAAGAACCAGGGGCCCTTGGGCAGGACTGCTTGCCCAGAGGCTGATTGGGAACCTAGACCCTGGGCAGTACCCAGCATACAAGCTGGATGGGGGAGGGGGTCCCCCCCCCCCCACACCCTCCCTCCTCACCAGCAGGCCTTGGCGCCAGTGGGGCGGCGTGAGGGGGTGGTGCCCAGGCCACAGGGTGAGAATGGCAGGGGCCTGGAACCGGCTGTACCAGCTTTGCTGGGCCCCCGCCCTCCCTTCCTGGCCCCACCCCAACCCCTGCTCAAACACCCTTGCAGAATGCTTGGAGCCACCAACCACACACTCCAGCACCCCTGAACTACCCACCCCCACACACATATCAGTACCCCCCTCCCTGTGCCCATACCCTGTGCTCCATTTCTTTCCAGATTAAGACCTTTTGTGAAAGGGCCTGCAGACTTGGCATATGGTTGGTACTGCATAAATGTCTATATAGTGGCTAATGTTACTGAACTGTGGGACAGCAGGCAATTCCTTAATTTCCTGTACCTCAGTTTTGTCCTCTGCTAAATGGGGATAAAAATAGTGCATGCATTTCACTGCGTTGTTGGAAGCAGGCAATGACTTACAATGTGTAAACCACTTAGGCAAGTACCTGGCCAATGGTAAGAGCCATATTAAGTGCCTGCTATTAAAATAATAATTATTATTTCTCAGTCTGTCTACCTATCTTTAAGTGTCTCTGAGTGAGTCTCCCTGTCTGCCTGCCTGACGCTAACCCTGCCCCCATTTTCTCTCTGGGAATCTTTCGTTCCCTGACCTCCCACTTTCATAGAAGCAATTTTTTTCTTATACTGGCCTAGCCCTCCATCTTGACCCTCAGGATCTGCCCTCAACTCTCTCCTGGCCTCCCCTGGCATGGCCAGCCTCAGCTCTGGCCATGACTGACTCACTGTGGCCTCTTGGCTCATGGGACCTGCAGGTTGGCTTGCTGAGATGCTGCTGCCCTCTGGCCAGACCAGCCCAGCCCCCCAACGCTGCCCTCTGCACCCCCGCAGGGCCCAGCCAGATGTCAGCTGCAGTTATTAGCATGGGCGGGAGACACAGACCTGGCTGAGTGCCTGCCAGACTCAGCGGCCACTGGAATCTCCCTTGAGCCTAGGGCGGGGGAGGGGAGCAGTTCAAACAAGGGAAGGAGGAGAGGGAGCACTCAGGGGTCACAAGGACCCTCCAAAGACCCAAGAAGGGGATGCCCCAGCTTCTCAGGGGACCTTCCTCCCTAACACCAGTGCTCTGCTGGACTTCCCCTGCCCTACATAGATTAGTTTCTCTTTCAGCTGTTTCATTTTCCTTCTCTCTCCCACACTTTGTGAGTTCCTGCCTGTTAAACAAAGACTGGCTAGCCCCTGACCCTCAGCTTCTCTCTTCCCTAAAGAAACTTTCATCCTTCTGGAGGACAGCAGTCTCTTGGAAACTGAATTTCTCACCTTTTGTGCTAGTGGCTTGCATTCTAATGCTTGGGAGTCTCACAATGAATCTAACAAGAAGCCTCACCATCTAAACCTCCACTTAGTCCTGGGGAAAGGACTATAGTTTCACTCAGATTCTCCCCTTGGATTTTTAAGCCCCTCTGACTGGAGGGGAGGGAGGCATCTGAGGAGAGAAGGGACCCCCTCCCCCCATAGATCTTATGGATGGTGTGAGGGCCTCATGCGTACATGAGTAAGGAAGAATGATTCGAAGTACCTGGGGGTGCTTGTGGGGAGTGGTCCTATTCCTCCTGGCAGAAAGAAAAGCACCCTGCCATAGGGAGGAAGCAGCCTTGCCAGCCAGCCCAGGCACTCTGGAGGCCTAGAGGCATTGGCCAGCTTTCTCCACTCCTCCCCGTTGGGCCAGGGGCAAAGTCCGACCCATGCCTGAGGGCAGGCGGGGACCTGCCATGCTGGGTCCGGGGACCTGCCATGCTGGGTCGGGTGGGCCGCCGGACCTGGCAGGACACGGCCACGGCCTCCGAAAGGCTGGGTGGGGCTGGACCAGGCGGCTGTGGGGGCCCCTCGGGGGTGGCGGCCTGGGCTGGTCGGGACTAGCCATCGAAGGCCCGGGCGCGCCCTGGGACCTGGCAGATGCCTGGGCTCCCAACTACTGGCTCCCGGCCCTGGGACAGTGTTGGTTCCACCCCTTCCTGTGCCCTTATATGGGCGTCGGGGAGAGACAGGGTGTGTGTGAGGGGAGGTGGGGGTGGGGGCGGGATAGCCCCGCCCCTCAGACTTTCCCGCGGCACCAGCCGGTTGCCATAGTGACAAAGCCCCGCAGCCCGTTGCGTCCCCCTCATTTGCGCCAATGGAATCTTTTCCAGACTGCTAACCTCGGCACTCGCCGCCTTGGGTAGAACCGTTGCGGGGGGGGGGGGGGGGGGAAGGGGTGAGATGTGATTGGGACCAGCTATCGCTAGGCGTGTTCGGGTACGCACCCTTGCCTCGGTGAGGGTCGCAAACCCTGATTCCTCTTCCTAGGAACTCTGCTGGACTGGAGGCGGGGCATTAGGTCCCGCAGGATTCGAATGACGGAGGCAGGGCCGGGCTCCTTCCCCGGGGGCTGTTGCCACACTTCCTGCCATGGCGATCTTTCCCCAGTCGGTTTCTAAGGAAGGAGTGGGGTTGGGCGACCGCGCCCGGGCTATCGGCAGCCCCAGCCCGAAGACGTCGGTCAAGCCCAGGGTCATTGGGGAAGGGCTTTGGAATGAGGATCAAGAAATACAGGCACCTAGAGATTACTCTCGAGAGGGGCCGCCAATCATGAACAATCCAACCGTCCAGGTACCAAAGATCTTCCTCTCATGGATCAACCAGGGACCCTCTATCATTGCCATCTCTGTTTTAAAAACTGCCCCTATCCTCTGCTCTCCTTCATTAGGGCTAACCATATGATCCCAGTAACCCCCCAACCTCTGAGCATTTCCATCTACCTCACTTAGTTATCCTTATTCACTGTACCCCAGGACTCTCACTTTCTGCATATCTTATATCCTAATTCGCTACTCACTTTTATGGGGACCCTCAAAACATTCCCAGGGGCTCCAGGACCCCTACTCTTTTTTTGCATAATGGAGCCTCCAGACCCTCCCACGTGTCCTATTGATCTCCCTCCACCTCACTTTTCCTTGGCTTAGTGTCTTGTGAAAAGTCCAGAATCCTGTGTGTACTAGAGACCCCCACTCAATTCCTAAGTCACGTGTCTCCTTACGTCTCCCGTCCATTTACCCTCCTCTCACTTCCCCCCACCCCGTCTCTCCTCCGTGGGGTCTCCCAGTGTATTTTTAATTTTCCAAGTCCCCTCAGAATGCCCCAGGCCTTCTGTACATATCGTTGGAAACCTCCCCCTTCCCACACACACCTGTACCAGTTCTTATCTCTCATGGCTACACCAGGGGAATCATCGCACTCCCCGAAGAACATCCCAGTGTACATCAAACCGCCCCAGCATCCCTTTTCTCCAGTGACTGTACGTCCCCTGAGCCCCTCCCCTGCAGCCGTGCCGAGCCACCCAGCCCGTGGCCGCTGTTTACAAGGACACGCGCTTCCTGACAGTGACGCGAGCCGCCTCCTCCCCTTCCCCACGCTCAAGGAGGGGGGGCGCGGGGGCCCGGCACCAGCATCAGCCAATCCAAGCGCACTTCCGCAGCTAACAATCGCCGTATAAAGGCGTGTGGCTCGCGCTGAGCTGCAGGATCTTGATCGCCGTCAGGCCCGTCGTCGGAACCTTCAGGGTGCGGGGTGCTGAGGGAAGCGACACCAAGAAAGCGAGTGCGCCAGGGAAGGCCAGAGGGAATCGAGAATAAGCTCAGTGCTTCCGCGCACAGCAGCCAGCGGACCTCTCCCAGCCGGTGCTAGCCTCCAGGAACGCGAGTCCGGACACCCAGGCAAGCCATCACCGGGAACAGCGCGCCGCTCGCTAACGCGAGGCCCGGGGCGGCCCCGCAGGGACTACCCTCCCGCCCCCTACGACCGCCCGGGCCGCCCGGATGTGCACTAAAATGGAACAGCCCTTCTACCACGACGATTCTTATGCAGCAGCGGGATACGGCCGTGCCCCAGGTAGCCTCTCTCTACACGACTACAAACTCCTGAAACCCAGTCTGGCGCTCAACCTGGCTGACCCCTACCGAAGTCTCAAAGCTCCCGGGGCGCGGGGCCCCGGCCCAGAGGGAGGCAGTGGCGGTAGCTACTTCTCTGGCCAGGGCTCAGACACGAGCGCGTCGCTCAAGCTTGCCTCATCGGAGCTGGAGCGCCTGATCGTCCCCAACAGCAACGGCGTGATCACGACGACGCCTACGCCCCCGGGACAGTACTTTTACCCCCGCGGGGGTGGTAGCGGTGGAGGCGCTGGGGGCTCAGGGGGCGGCGTCACCGAGGAGCAGGAGGGCTTTGCCGACGGCTTTGTCAAAGCCCTGGACGACCTGCACAAGATGAACCACGTGACTCCCCCCAATGTGTCCTTGGGCGCCAGCGGGGGGCCCCCGGCCGGGCCCGGGGGCGTCTATGCCGGCCCGGAGCCGCCTCCAGTGTACACCAACCTCAGCAGCTATTCCCCAGCCTCTGCGCCCTCCGGAGGCGCCGGGGCAGCAGTCGGTACTGGGAGCTCGTACCCGACGGCGACCATCAGCTACCTCCCACACGCGCCGCCCTTTGCTGGCGGCCACCCCGCGCAGCTGGGCCTGGGCCGAGGCGCCTCCACCTTTAAGGAGGAGCCGCAGACCGTGCCTGAGGCGCGCAGCCGAGACGCCACACCGCCTGTGTCCCCCATCAACATGGAAGACCAGGAACGCATCAAAGTGGAGCGCAAGCGGCTGCGGAACCGGCTGGCGGCCACTAAGTGCCGGAAGCGGAAGCTGGAGCGCATTGCGCGCCTGGAGGACAAGGTGAAGACACTCAAGGCCGAGAACGCTGGGCTGTCAAGCACCGCTGGCCTTCTCCGGGAGCAGGTGGCCCAGCTCAAACAGAAGGTCATGACCCATGTCAGCAATGGCTGCCAGCTGCTGCTCGGGGTCAAGGGACATGCCTTCTGAAGGCCCTCATCCACCTACGGACATTTCTCTAGCCTGGACGACTGGGCGCACGCCTGCAACGGGGCGATGGGGCATGCGGTGGGCACCGACCCCGGGGCATTGGGGCGCCAAAAACCACACTGGACTCCAGCCCGCCCGCTCTATACCCAGTCCTTCCACATCGACGTTTACAAGCCCCCCCCTTCACGTTTTTTGTATTTTTTTTTTTCTGCTGGAAACAGACTCGATTCATATTGAATATAATATATTTGTGTATTTAACAGGGAGGGGAGGAGGGGGCGATCGCGGCGGAGCTGGCCCCGCTGCCCGGTACTCAAGCCCGGGGAGACACTGGGAAGGGAACCCCCGCCCCCTTCCCTCCCCACTCTGCACCGTACTGTGGAGAAGAAACACGCACTTGGTCTCTAAAGAGTTTATTTTAAGATGTGTTTGTGTGTGTCTGTGCGTTTGTCGTTCTGACTTTTTATTGAATCTATTTAAGTAAAAAAAAAAGGTTCTTTATTAATTTGTTGTCTTTTTTTCTAAACCGGGAGAGCGGAGGGAGGAGAATACTGGGTTACCCCCCCCACCCCCTTGCTGTTTGTGGCTCCAGTATTTATATCCCTTTGCCAGCTCTACCTGGGTTGTCTCATGGCCAACTATCAAGCCTGGGTTTCCAACCGTTCTCGCGTGTCCCCTGATTTCGTTTCGAGGCTTGGAGGTCCAGGGCTGGGACGAAGTCCAGCCGGCCCAACACAAGGGAAGAAGGCTATTTGCGGCGCGACGCTCAGAGAGCAAGCGCGGCCCCTCCCAGCCGCGCGCGCAGGGGCTTTCCCAGCTGACGCAGCGGAAGGGATACCCATATATGGGCCGATTCTGCCCAGTGACGCGACGGCGGTCTCCGGGCAGATTCCGGGAATCCCCTCCCCCGCTCTGCCGGGCAGTGCAGCGGAGCCGGGAAGGGGGCCGGGATTTTCCCAAGCGGGTGGTTGCCGGGGCCCGGAAAACCCCAGGCTCGGTTCCAGAGCGTCCGCAGTAGGCGGGCCGCAGCCACCCCAGAGCCTCCCCCCAAAAACTGACGGGGGGGCCTGGCCGAACCCACGCTCTTTTCCTGGGACCAGACCCAGGCAGGTAGTTGCTGCTACGCGAGCACAGTAGCCTCCTAAGTACTCCCCTCCTCCACTCTCCAGGAAGGGCGGCGCCCGCCAGCCCATTTCCCCTCCCAGCTCCAGGCCCCTAGCGTGGCGAGTGCCAGGTCTGGTCCTGGGGGAGGCTGCTGGGGCTGCCAGGCGTCGCTACAGTCGCCCTGGCACGAAACTGCCTTCTCTGAGGCTGGGACTGGTCGGAATGTGGCTAGTGCTTCCCGAGAGGGTCTGGCTGGCTTCGGAGCTGGAAGCCCCCACAATAGCAGAGAAAAACAAAGAGAAATCAGGCCAGCCATAGGGATGGCGTGGGCAGAACAGACAATGCATTTATATAACACTGAGTAACCGGATCCTGGAGATTAATCTTTGACCAAGTCAGACAAACTATAAACAAACATTATTCGAAGATGGTGGTAAATGCTTGGAAGAGGAAAAAATGATAAAATAGTGAAGGAACAGGAGGTGAGATGATTTTACAAATAGATTGGGAGCATGGACTTATCAGCAGATCTGAAAAACTGGGGCTCTGAGAAAATTTTGGGTAACAGCGTCTTGGGGGCCGCCCTGGTGGCACAAAGGGTTGGGACGCAGCACTGCAAGCTAGCCACAGCAGCTTCAGTGCCAGTTGGATCCCTGGCCTCGGAGGTGATCCATAAGGCAAGGCCCTTACCCTGCCCGCCATTACCCTCCGCAGTGTACTTCATCTATCTGCCTGTTCTGCTCCCCACTCTGTCTCTGGTGAATCCTTTCACCACCCTGTACCTTTGACTTGTACCCTAGTTTTGTATGCATATATAAAAGAAATCTTTAGGGAAAAAAAGAACACACCCAGCGTCTTGGGCAGGGAGAACACAAGTTCCTGTGGCCAGAACAAGATCAACCTGTTAAAGAACAGGAAGCCACTGTTTCTGGAATGGATTTAACCAGGAGGGGGAGATGAAGTCAAGGAGTACCAGGCAGAGAGTTGGGGAGCAGTGTAGATAAAATTTAAGTCCAATGTCAGTGGCCTTTGGAGGATTTTAGGTTGGGCAGCAGTGTTAATATGGATATAATATGGTGTATGAATTAAATGAGGTGTTAAGTCCTATCCTGTGAAGGAAAAAGGTTCAGAATGGCAGTCACTTGTCTTAACTTGCCCATCAAACTGTACCCTAGGATTTGTGCCTTTCTCCTAACTGCTGCTTCCCAATCTAACCCTCAGCCTTTTATCCAAGGGGACAGACAGACTTTCCAACCTGGCTGAGGCAGAACTTGCCATGGGGAACTCAATTGCAAGAAAACATGCAACTCTTGGTAATGTTCTCAGGACTCAGTCCCATCATCCATAACATAGAACTTCCAGCTCTAGGGACTCAATCTAGTAACTACTAACTGGGCCCAGAACATCAAGTACTTTGTTTTGTAAAGATTATTTATGCAGACAAGAACTGGGGTATAGGCCAGAGGTGCGGGCACTGTGTGTATTAGAGGATTTACCAGAGACAGAGATGGAAACAGAACAGACTAACTGAAATACACTGTTAAGGGGAACAGCAAGTGGGACAGGAGAGATCTGACGCGCCGAGTGGGTAAGCTCCTTGGCTGGGAATCAGACTTGTGCTGTAGTGACTTTGATAGCTTCATTGTGCTGTACTTTAACGCATTGTGCCACCAGAGAGGGCCTCATGTACTTTCTTAACATACATGGTGATATGGGTTCTTTATTCCCATTTTCCTGACCAGAGTTGACATAATTCTTAAACTGCATTTGAATGCAGGCTGGCTGATAGCAACGTGTGAGCATTGCCCTAGAAGTCCAGATTTCAGGATGTAGGGCATTCTGGGATTTGTAACCTGTAAGGTGTCAGCAAACTACCTTGCTCACCAACTTATCTCAGGTAGGAAGGGAATGTGGTAGCAGTGTGAATGAGGAAAGGCTGCCACCTTATGGTGGAAGTAAGTAATTACCATGGCTGATTTGTAGGGGAATTTAAAGACAGGCAGAGGGGAGGTAGCAGGACAGACCACAGGAACACAGACTCACATTCATCCTTAATAACTTTATTAGTTATAGGCATAGTTACCTCTATGCCTATGCCCTGCTTAGGTGGGCTCCAGACATTCAACTCCCAGGCAGGAGCAATAGAAGACCTTGGTCTACCCCTTAGGATAACAGACTAGGGATTGAAGGTACAGATATGGCCTTTCTTGGATTATCATAGGGTACCCAGACAGGGGCACAGGGTCAACAGCCAAAGCTTTCCATCCATCTACTAGTCTAGTTGTGTTTGGAGAAGTATTCCTTGCTGTCCTCCACATTGGGCTTGATTGTGTCACTGCCTGGCTTCCAGCCTGCGGGACAGACTTTGGGAAGACACAGAGATTCAGATATGAAGTTACAACACCATAAGCAAAATAAAACAGTAGTGAGGTGAAGAGAAGGGTGTAAAGTAAGATCCTGAATTCAAAAGAACACAACACAACAAAACAAAAAAAAAGTGCTCAAGACCTACCTCATGTAGAGAAAAGCCCTCCAAGCCCAGCTGCAAAATTTTCTCACTCACATTTTTATTCCTTTTGGCCCCTGTAATCTATCTTTCTCTTCCAGTCCCACCCCAATAGATAGATACTGCATGTTTGTAGTCAGGCTGTATTTACCCTCCACATAAAAAGGTACTCTGATCCAACCAGTATTATTTGAGCCTGCCTTGGTACATAGCTTCCTAAGTACTTCTTTGGGTTTCTATGACCTCCCAGTTCCCCAACATCATGTTGGGTTTTATCCCCCCCACCACAACCCCAAAGGTGCTTAACTGAATTCTTTGGGGACCCTTGTGTCTATCCCACACAGGTGGTAAAGTACGAAGTGAATATTCTGAATGATGAAGCTTCATAAGTATACATGTGTGAACACCTTAATGTATGTGTCTGCTCACCTTCCCCATGCTCATCAGTGTACTGGAAGGCCTGGACCAGACGCAGGGCCTCATCCACAGAACGCCCCACAGGTAGATCATTGACAGTGATCTGTCGAAGGATACCCTTGCCGTCGATGATAAAGAGGCCCCTAGAAACATCAGGGTCTATAGTGAGGAATGGGATCTTCTGTTGCTAGGATCAGGGAAGAGAGTACTAACTCACTGCTAGACACAGGATTGGGAGCAGGAAGAGTATAGCCCAAGAGCAGCCCCCTCACCCTGCACATAGAGGCCCTTGAGGGAGGTAGCAGGCACCCAGTACCTGTAGGCGATGCCCTCATCTTCCTTCAGCACACCATAATCGTGAGACAAGCTTCTGGTTAAGTCAGCTAGCAGAGGGATGTTCAGGGGGCCTAAGCCTCCCTCCTTCCGGGGGGTGTTGATCCTGGAGATGCGGGAGAGATGCCTAGCACAGCAGGGTCCTCACCCTATGTGCCTGAGTGTGATAAGGGTTCAAGAGGGGGTGCTGGTGGTAAGAGATAAGGGGCTTTAGAGCAAGGCCTTGGGAGCTCCACCTACCGCACCCTGAAGTGGGTGTAGGGACTGTTTCCCACAGCTGGGAAGACTAACCATCCAGTCAAGTAACTTCACATATGCTGGTAGCCTTCAGCATGTTAGAGCAAAGAGCATGTGTTAGAATCCCCATTTTCTCCTCACTGTGTTCTGGGGCCCAACCCTTCACTGCCTTAAACTGGAGTTTCCACCTTCATGAAATCGTTTAAATAGGGCAACAGTCTCCTTGCCAGAACTCAGTGAGATAAAGCAGCTTCCAGTCTCAGGGCCTGTCTTCATTCTTAAGGACTAGGGCGTCACATTTCCATTATTTTTAAGATGGGAGGCACAATGGTTGAGCAATGGCCAGGAGGCGGGCCACACTAAGCTTAACTGCACCCTTCCCATCCCTGATGGTCCCGGCTCATACCAAGCCAGGTGGGTGAACTGAGAGTCCACAGAAACCCCCAGAACTTCACAGCCTAATTTGCGGAAGTCCTCTGCATGCTCGCTGAAAGCGATGATCTCCGTGGGGCACACAAAGGTGAAGTCCAGTGGGTAGAAAAACAGAACCACGTATTTCCCTAGGGGAAGAGTTGGAAAGAGACTAGGAATTAGGGCCCAGTGCCTCCAGCGCCTCCAGTGCCCGAGCCCCGCTCCTGAGCCCTCTCCAGGTCGCCCTCACCTCGGTAGTCGGAAAGCTTCACCTCTTTGAAGGCGCCATCCACCACAGCAGTGGCCTGGAAGTCCGGGGCGGGCTTACCGATGTGCGCGTTGCCAGAGGCCATGTCTGAAAGCTGAGACCCCCGCCCGGTCAAGCCCTTTGTCCCTGCTTCCCAAGGTCAAGCAGCGTACAGGGCCGCGTTACTGAGTCCGAGAGGCAGAGGCAGCAGCACTGCCCTTCCCCCTTCCCGGTACCGGGTCGGTGCCCTCTTGAGGTTGCGGGAGACCCGCCCCCAGACCAGCAAGGGCAAACCCCCTGTCCCCCGCCATTAGCACGTTGGCCCACGCGCGATGACGCTGGCCTCCACCCTAGGAGGAGACGGCGAGACCCCAGTTGCAGGAGACTGGGAGTCCGGAGATGCGGCCTGTATTCCAAGGCTCTGGCCTTGGTTTCCAACGCCAGGACAAAGGCGGCCACCTTACAGGGCGGAGAACAAAGGCGGTGGGCGCAGGGATCTGAATAAGGCCGGAGCTGCTCCAAGGGAACTTCCCCCAGCCGGGCGCATTCTACATGTCCCTACCTGCGTGGGCGAGGGCGGGATGCAAGGAACGGCAGGATGCAGACACCAGCGGAAGAGCCGACTTGCGTTCTCAGCACCTAGTTCTCGTGGGTCGTGGAGCCTTTTATATGCAGTAGACCCATGACGCACAGGGCGGGGAGGAGGGGGGCGGCGGACTAGCGGAGCGGTCGGGTCCACTGGAACCGCGGAGTAGGGGAGCGCTGCAGGCCGGGTCCACGAACCTGCAGCAGCAGGGGGAGGCGCGCGCCAGACCATTGCGCCTGCCTGTGTTGGGGGACTACAAGCACCGCGGACCCCGCGAGGAGCTTGACTGGTGTGCACGCAGAGGACGGTTGAATCCGACATGGTCCCAAGTCCGGCGGTGCTGCTACTGCCGCCTCTGATGCTTCTGCTGCTGCCGGCGACCCTTGCTCACGTCTCCCCCGATTATCAGTACTTCGGCGAGCAGGGTGAAGGTGATACCTGGGAGCAGCTGCGACTGCTGCATCAGGAGAAAGGTAACACAGGTCCTTGGTGTGACAGTGTAGAAAGGTGCCTCATTGCCTCACTTTGACAGCGAGTGCAGAGACCCTTCTCCCTGGACGTCAGATCTCTGCCCACCTTCGCACTGGTAGCATCCCCTTGAACTGTTTGCCACCTCCCCCCCTCCTTGTCCCCCACCCCACGCTGTTTTCACACCAGAAAATTATAACTGAGACTTCCTTTAAGCAGCTTACCGGAGAGAGGAAGTGTGAGAAGGCAATAAGTACTAAAGTAGAACTCTCCATGAGTGGTCTGAAGAAGTAACCAATGCAGTCAGAAGGACAAACAGAAGAACTTTAGGGGAAAGTGTACCAGGAAGAAGGAATGGGAGGTGGCAAGGCCAAAGGCCTGATAGGAATAAAAACAGGCCAGTATTTTGTGGTGGAGGCATAGTGAGAGCATAAGTTGTCAGCTTTGTGATCTGTAGATATGGGATCAGACCTGTCTCATGGGGATATAGGGAGACGTCAGTACACGGACATTATAAACTGCATTGGATAAGCTAATTTGTAGCTGTTTTGAAAGTGGTCATAATAATTGTATTTGTTCTACCTGGTTGCATAGCACCATTATGCCAATTATATTACTAAATTTACCACCTGACAATGCTCCTGGTCAGATGGTCCTCTGCCAGTTGAACAGGCTCATAATCACATCCCTGAAGACAGGAGTCAACTTCAAATAGTTGGTACCATAGGAAGTTGTACCACACTTGTAATAGGCAGGCTGGCACAAGTGGGAAGTGTAAATTTGCAGTCCCTCTGGGCTGTTCACCAGGTGCATGTACTCTGAAGGGTGGCTGGCTTTTCCTGTTCCAATGAGAGAGTCAATGGTGTCACAGAACTGTTACATGTTAGTCTTAACCTCCTCCCTTCCTAAAGGAGGGCTGCCTGCGGGGTGGAGGTATTCCCCACTACCTGGCCTTCCATCCCTAGAACTGGAGGACTCCATCCTTGGCCCATGGGGAAAATGGCACTGTCAATGCGACCTGGGAAAGCAGGAGCGCAGCCGAGAAATACTGGGCACCACTCCAGGCCCAGTGTTCATGGACCGAGAGAAGCTGGTGCAGGTGCAGCCCTGCCGGCAACAGGATTGTCCATCTTGCAAGCCTATCAACTGCAACTGAAGGCCCTGAACCCTGGTGAGAAGCTCTGAGGTTGGGGGCCTGGGGTAGCTGGCAAATCAGGGATTGTGAGTCGGGCCTCCGGGTTGGGGTGAGCAGCCTCTGTGAAATGTGGTACCAGGAGAGCTCCAGGAATGGAGAGCTGAGGGCTCTATGTCTGGATCTGGAGAGGGAGGGTAGGGGAAGGGAAGCAGAATCTGGAGACTTGCACTACATTGATAACCTGGGAGAAAGGAAGAACGTTGGAAGGGGCAGGGACTAGAGAGGGAGAAGCTGGACTGCAGGAAATGTGACCGAATTAGGGACAAGAACCTGATGAGATGCACAGAACCACAGGTTGAAGATATGAGCTCCGCTGTGATTGTAATAGGAGAGTGGCAGACAAATCTGGGAGGTGTGAGCTTCACAACAATAGTTGAAAAGAATGAGGCCAACTGCTTGGCAGAAACTTAGCAGGAAACTATTGAGTCAGGGGTCTAGGTGTGTGGCTAGGAGCCAGATAACACCAATGAAGGTAGGAAGGAGAGAGAGTGTGTGTGTGTGTGTGTGTGTGTGTGTGGGTGGGTGGGTAGGTGGGTGGGGTGACTGGGGCTTGGAAAGGTACCATGAAAGAACATCTTCCAGGGGGTTTAGACTCTGGAGTGGCAGGGACCGCAAGTACAATAGCCTGAATCCAGGTAGAGGACATACACAGTCATGTGGATATCTTATTGTGTGTGTAGTACTTCTGTAGTGCTTGACCTTCTAGGTCTGGGTCCTTAGTTTCCCCATTAATTTACTCTTCCACCAGCCCCTCAGTGGGCTGTACTCTAAGGATCCCTGGGCGCAGCTTGGGAAACAAACCCGCCCATCCTGAACTTGGAGCTTGGCGGCCAGCCTGGGAAACTACAATTCCCAGGGAGACTTGCGGTAGTGAAAGGTGTGGGCTGCGTGTACGTTGGGGGCGTGTCCTGTGCACTGATTGGTCAGAAACTAGTCCTCGCGGGTTCTGCGGAAGACGCGCGCGGAAAGACCAGTGTCCGCAGAAAGCCTTACTCCTGTGACCCGCTGTGTCGACCAAGGAGGCATGGATCTCAGTATGCTGGAGAGAGATAACACGGGCCGCTGTCGTCTGAATTCGCCCGTGCCTGCGGTGTGCCGCAAGGAGCCCTGCGTCCTGGGCGTTGATGAAGCTGGCCGGGGCCCGGTACTGGGTGCGCCCCCAGGACCCGAGTGGAGGACTGGCGTAGTAATAGGGATCAAGTTGCACCACGAAAGGGGCGGGTGTTGATAGTGGTGATGGCAGCAAAAAAAAAAAAAAGAGGGTTATGTTGTAAGAGGTTTGGCGCCTTTCGTGACTAACATATTGGACCTCCGTTTCTTTAGGCCCCATGGTATATGCTATCTGTTATTGCCCCCTGTCGCATCTGGCAGATTTGGAGGCTCTGAAAGTGGCAGGTAAGCCTGAGGTATACTTCTGGGCATGTTCCGGGAAGGGTTGGTGTGAACTGGAGGGGAAAGCAGGAGCTGAAAGAACCGTCTGCGCCCCTTTTCTTCCACCCCTTCTCCCAGATTCAAAGACCCTGTCAGAGAACGAGCGGGACAGGCTTTTTGCGAAAATGGAGGAGGACCGAGACTTTGTGGGTTGGGCACTGGATGTACTCTCTCCAAACCTCATCTCTACCAGCATGCTTGGGAGGTGAGGAGTCCCGTGGAGGGGAAACTATCATGGGCTGGAAGAGATGGTGACTGGAATGAGGTTGAATGGTCTCTGTTACCCCCTGCAGGGTCAAATACAATCTGAACTCCCTGTCCCATGATACAGCTGCTGGGCTGGTGCAGTATGCCTTGGACCAGGGTGTGAAAGTCACCCAGGTAAGCTGACTGTTCGGTTGCTCTCTTTTGCTTATTTCTCTCTTTTGCTTATTTCGACATAAAATGGGGTTTAAAAATGCAGTGGTGGCACGGATGGGTTGATGCAGGATTATGAAGCTGTCTGCAGCCACTGCAGTCGTTTTACTCCCAGCCAGGGAGGTAATCCACATGGCGTTGCAGACTTCTCCTATCTCACCCACTGCTGCTCTTAGCAGAATATTTCAATCTGCCTGTTTTGTTCCCACTCTGTCTCTGGTGAATCCTCTTACCCCCCACATCTCTGGCCTACACCCGAGCTCTTGTATGCATACATAAATATTGAAAAAGAAAATAAAAGTGCAGCGGGCAGTGCAGCCATCAGGCATATCTGGATTACCTTAGAAATATTTGTTCCTGTTGACTTACTGTGCCTTTTTCTGACATAAATGTGGAGGACCAATCCTACCTCACTCCCCTCTAATGTCTTTGTATTCTAAAGGGAGTGTCTAGAATAAATTCCGCAGCCTCTACTAGCCTAGGGCACTCTCCCTTCCCAAATAACTGCCCATACTTTTTCCCCACTGCCACCCTCCCCGCTACTTTCATCCTGCGCCTCCAATACCAGTCTGCTCCTCACACAGCAGTCATTTAGAAATGTAAATCTTGACATTTAATTTTCTGATCAAAGTAGAAATTAAATCGGAAACATTCAGATGCAAGTGAAGAGGATAAGATTAAATTACCAGCCAAAGGGTCCTCCCTGGTGGCGCAGCGAGTTAAAGCACAGCACTAAGAAGCTAAAGCCACTTCAACATGAGTTCGATCCCCGCCTGCCCCGGAGGTGACCACATGGCGTGGCAGACCTCTCCTGACCCGCCCGCTGCTCCCCTCAGCAGTGTACTTCGTCGATCTGCCGGTTCTGCTCCCCACTCTGTCTCTGGTGAATCCTCTCATCCTCCGCATCTCTGGCCTGTACCCCAGTTCTGTACGAATAAATAAATAAATCTTTAAAAAAAAAAATTACCAGCCAAAAATATAAATTGACATTGCATTGCATACCCTGAGGCAAAGACAGCTTGTGTTTGTTTGTTTGTTTGTTAAATGATTTATTTATATATGTATACAAGAGCTGGATATAGGCCAGAAGTGTGGAGGGTCAGAGGATTCACCATAGACATAGTGAGGAGCAGAACAGGCAGATATACTGAAATACACTGCTGAGGAGAGCCATGGGGATACAGGGGAGGTCTGCTGCACCTTGTGGGTCACCTCCCTGGCTGTGGAGGTGGAACTCATGGAACTCATGCTGCAGTGGCTGTGGATAGCCTCATAGTACTGCAGTTTAACTCCTGGAGCCACCAGGGAGGGCCCAATTTGTTTGTTTCTTTTAAATATTTATTTATGCATATAAGAACTGGGGTGTAAGTCAGAGGTGAGCGGAGGGATAGGTGAGAAGATTCACCAGAGAATGGGGAGCAGAACATGCATATGCTCTGAAATACCCTGCCGAGGGGAGCAGTGGACAAGACAGGAGAGGTCTGCTGCTACATGTGGGTTAGCTCTCTGGCCGGCTGGATATCAAATGGGTGCTGTAGGGGATGACAGTAGCTTGATAGCACTGTTTTTATACCCTGGAGGCCCACGAACACATTTTTTTCCCTTGTTTTAAAGATTTATTTATACATAACAGAACTGGGGTACAGGCCAGAGATGTGGGAGATGAGAGAATTCACCAGAGATAGAGTAGGGAGCAGAACAGGCAGATGTACTGAAATACACTGCTGAAGAGTAACAGCAGGTGGGTCAGGAGAGGTCTGCCATGCTAAATGGGTCACCCCCACTGGCTGGGGATCGAATTCATGCTGTAGTGTCTTGGGATAGCTTCGTAGTTCTATGGTTTACCCTGTTGGGCCAACAGGGAGGGCCACCACAGGTTTTGCTTTTTTTTTTTTTAAAGATTTATTGATTATGCTTACAGAACTGGAGTACAGGCCAGGCCAGAGGTGCAGGGGCAGTGAGAGGATTCACCAGAGATAGAGTGGGGAGTGAACAAGCAGATTGACGAAGTACACTGCTGTGGGGAGCAGTGGGCAGGTCAGGAGAGGTCTGCCATGCCATGTGGGTCAGCTCCCTGGCCCGGGGATTCAATTTGTGCTGCAGTGGCTTCAGAGAGCTTCATTATGTGGTGCTTTAACCCACCAGGGAGAGCCCTTCTTTTTTTTTTTTTAAGAGAAAAACAAGGAGGAGCCCCTTCCTGGCAGTGCAGCAGGTTAAAGCATAACACTGCAAGCTAGCCACAACTACTTCAGTATAAGTTCAATCTCCTGCCCCAGAGGTGACCCACATGGCACAGCAGACCTCTCCTGACTCACCCGCTGCTCCCCTCAGCAGTGTACTTCATCAGTCTCACTGTTTTGCTCACTACTCTGTCTCTGGTGAATCCTCTCACCGTCCCTGCATCTCTGGCCTGTACCCCATTTCTGTATGCATAAATAAACAAATCTTTAAAAAAGAAAAAAGAAAAACAAGGAGAGATACACACTTGAATTATTTGGGGAGGTGGCTGAAGCTCAGTACTGGAATGAGGAGCTGATGATAGAGTATTGGAGCAGATAAATGTCTTCAGATGTTCATGACCTCCTCAAGAGAGACAGGTGGTGAGGGGCTTAGCGAATAATAAAGGTTATTTCTGAGAATAATTGCTATGGAGACTAATTTCCCCCATTGTCTCCATGACATCATTGTTCTGTCCCAGCAATGGGGCCTTCCTCCTATTCTGCAAATGAAACATAGTTCCCCGCAGGGCCTATGTACTGGCTGGGTTGTTTGCACAGTTTGGCTTTCTGGGTGATGGATGAATGAAAATATTTCTAACACTTGGTAGGTATTCGTGGACACTGTGGGAATGCCAGAGAAGTACCAGGAGCGACTGCAGGAGCATTTTCCTGGCATTGAGGTGACAGTCAAGGCAAAGGCAGATGCCCTCTACCCTGTGGTTAGCGCTGCTAGCATTTGTGCCAAGGTCAGTCCTTCATTGAATATGGCCTGCCTTCAGTATTACACTGGGTAAGGGGCAGGCATGGCTGTTATTGGGAGGGATAACCCAAGTGCCTGTTTTGACCACAGGTGGCTCGAGACCAGGCTGTGAAGAACTGGCAATTTGTGGAAAAATTTCAGGACTTGGACACAGATTATGGCTCAGGCTATCCCAATGGTAAGCAGATGGTAGTGGTCCCACCTTCCCTAGAAGCTTCTCTGAGAGTATGGTAATAACCCTGAAGAGGAAGGCCTGAGTCTGCATCGTTTTCTCAGTTATTCTGCTCACCCCACTCTGGTAGAAGAGACTAAGACCTAGGCAGAGCCACTTACTCATGCCCAACCAATGTGGGACAGAGTGAAGTTCCTTCTTCCTTCCTTTATGCCTCTCTCTGTGTTGTTTCTCTAAAACACAGCAACAAACTGAGAGTACAATGGGCTTCTCTCCATCAGTTAAAAGAGAAGAGGGTCAAGGGTGAGTAGTACTGACTACACTAGGCTGCCTCTTAAATCTATTCTTTCTTTCTCCCCATAATAAGGCTCACTCTCCTTGTTTGAAGAGGAGATAATCATAGGTCCACCTGCCTCCCCCTATCCTTACATGTTCTCGCACACCACAGGAGAGGGGAAAAAGTTCTGTGACTGGACTCAAATCCTCCAGTCCTTCTGAGGCCTCGGGAGGGACGTATAGTTGGGAGGAACGACATAATTCTGATTGGAATAGGTGAAGACAAAGTGGGAAAAACAGGTCCAGGCAAAGACAGTCTGATATGTAACAGTGGCCCATAGAAAGGTCCTGAAGCAAGAAGCTGTCTCAACCAGTGGGTGATGCCTTAGGTATGCTGGAGGAGCCTGAGGTGGGGTGATAGGACCCTAGAAGCCATGCTGAGGAGCTTGAACATTATCACTGTTACCCACACCTCCTCTCCCCAGATCCCAAGACAAAAGTCTGGTTGAAGAAGCACGTGGAGCCTGTGTTTGGCTTCCCTCAGTTTGTCCGGTTCAGTTGGCGCACAGCGCAGAGCATCCTGGAAAAGGAGGCAGAGGATGTTATGTGGTAGGTGTCGTGGATGTGCTATGATGAAGGTCAATGCCTGGGATCCCTCCTGCCCTCACCCATGTCGCCAAGTGGTCATTGTCACCATCTCTCCCACAGGGAGGACTTGCCAACAGGGGATCAGGAGGGACTTGGGAGGATCACATCCTACTTCAATGAAGGCCCCCGAACTCGTCCTCGCCTCCCCCACCGGTTCTTCCAGGAGCGCTGCCTAGAGTCGGCCACCACTCTATAGTAGTCACCTTATACCCCTTTTCTCTGCCCACAATTCATGATTAAAATTGTTTAAAGAAAGCCAGTCTTGGGGGTTATGCTTTGGCCGGGGCGGGGGGGGGGTTCTGACTTTTGGAATTTAAATAGGGTGAGCAATTCAGCTTCCCTTCGGTGATTAAAAATTTTTGATTTACTTATTTATGCATACAGAACTGGGGTGCAAGTCAGAGGGGCAGGGGCAATGAGAGGCTTTACCAGAGACAGAGTGGGGAGCTGAACAGGCCGATCAGTGAAGTACATTGCTGAGGGGATAGCAGGCAGGCCAGGAGAGGTCTGCTTTGCCATGTGGATACCCTCCTGGGCCAGGGATTGAACTCACACTGAAGTGGCTGCTGCTAGCTTGCAGTGCTATGTCCTAACCCGTTGCATCACCAGGGAGGACCCAGTGCTTAAGTTTAACCCGAGTAACATTTAGCAATCACTGCCTCTAAAAAGAACAGTCACTACACGTGTCAGGAGTTTTGCTCCCAGTAGCCCAGAGGCTACCAGGCAGACTATAGACTGAAAAAAGATGTGAACTCTCATTTGTACAGAGTGAATTCATAACAAATTTTCCAAGTCAAGAATTTATATAGTTTCAGCCTTCTGCAGATCATGACAAATATGACAGGGATCCATAGCACTCTCATGAACTGCATATTGTTACCTGATTTTAAAAAAAGTACAGAAAGACATCTATACTGGGAAAAAAGATAGAGTAAAGATGCTTGGATTAGAAAAAAAGCATATATTCTTCAAGTTCATAAACATATCTCTTCAGGGCCTCCATGATGGTGCAAAGGGTTAAGTCTCAGCACTATGAAGCTAGCTACAGCCACTGCAGCACAAGTTGGATCCCCAGCTTTTTTTTTCTCAAGGATTTATTTATTTATGCATATGTGAACTGGGGTACAGGCCAGAGGTGGGGGTTGAGAGGATTCATCAGAGACAGGGGGGGAAACAGAACAGGCGGATCCACTCAAATACACTGCTAAGGGGAGCAGCAGGCAAGACAGTGTGAGTCACCTCCCTGGCTGGGGATGGAACTCTTGCTGCAGTGGCTGCTAATAGCTTGATAACATTGAAACTTTATTCCCTGTGCCACCAGAGAAATCCTTAAAATATATTTTATTTATTTTCCCCCTTCCTTACCCCTAAAATACATTTTACATAATAAACAGGGTGGGCATTGACTGGTATATTTTATTTTTAGAATGCATACTATGTATGCTAAAGAATTAAACATGTTGTGAAGCCTCCCACCCTGGTCCTAGCTCACTGGTGGGCTTGCTTGTGTGTCTCAGCCTGTTTGTTCTACTGTAATAGAAGACCACCAGTTGGGTGACTTCTAAACAGCAGGCATTTAGTTCTGGAGATGGGAGGCCAGGATGCCAGAATGGTCAGGTCTGGTAGACCCTTTCCTAGATTGCAGACTGCTGACTTCTATCTGCAGTGTCCTCATGACACAGAAGGAGACAAAAGTTCTCCCTTTAATAAGGGCACTAGTTCCATTGGTAAGGACTTCACCCTTGGGACATAATTACCTCCCAAAGGTCCACCTCCTAATACCATCTTTGGCTGCTAGGATTTCAACATGACAGGCAGGATGCAAGCACATTCATTCACATGGTAGCTGGTACCTTTTAGGTTAGTTCAAGAGGGGGCAGGGACATTGACAAAGACTTTTTTCCCCTACATAAATGGAAGTGCTCAAATAGTGCACATTACTTTTCTCATTAAATGTATCTTGGGGATAATTCCAAGAGCTTTACCATTCCTTTTACAGTCTCAGGGTCCTTGGCATGATAATTATGTCATGTAATGCCTCATGATAGACATTGGGTTTTTACCCAGCTTGCTATTCAATATGTACAGAAGAGAGGGTCAGGGGATGATTTCAGTTCTTGTGCACAGCTTTGGAGGATAAATTCCCAGAAGTGGGTTTGTTGCATTGGAGTCTATGTATTTGTGATTTAGAGAGATTGCCAAATTCCTTTCCCAGAGACCTCTAGCAGATGGCACTCCCACCAGCTACATCATGAGAGGTTGTTAACCCCACAACCTTACCTTGTTAACCCAGCTTTAGGACAGGTATATCTCTTTGGAAAGTTTGGAGGTCAGGTGGCTCAATGACATTAAAGATGTGTTTTTTTAGTTCATCTTTCATTGGATCAACTGTAATGCTTTTGCTTCTCGTAGTCCCAAGATGACTGCTACAGATCCAGACATCACATCTCAAACTCCAAACCTTCCCCTAGCAGTCAACCATTTTATGTCCTGGCTGGAAGTAGGACACATGTCCATGCCTGAAGCAATCCCTAGCAAGGGGAGTGGAATATCCAGCATAAAGCTAAGAATTGGCCCCACCCTGTCTCTGGTGTGTCCTCTCTGGTGTATATCACCCCCTAGGCCCCCTCCCCCACTGGCCTCACTACTCTGGCCTATACCTCAACTTTTGTGTACATAAATAAATAAACCTTTTTAAAAAAAGCTAAGAATTGGTAGTAGGGGGTGAAAAGAGACCCAGTATCTCCACTACCCTATGTTAACTTTAGCAGTGGGATTATAGTGGAAAGGAAGAAAGGAGATGACTCTTAAGTAAATGCTGTGATGGCAGAAACCCAGGTTTTTTTGGGAGTATTAAGGGGCATGTACTGGTCTGCTGACAATACCATAAAGTACCATACACTGTGTGACTTAAACAACAAAAATTAATTTTCTCCTAGTTCTGGGGAGTAGAAGTCTGAGATCAAGGTGTGAGCAGGGTTGATTTTTTCTGAGATCTCGCTCTTTGGCATGTACAGAGCTGTCTTCCTGTGTCCTACATGGGTAGAAAGGCTCTAATCCCTCTTTATGAAAACACCAGTCATGTTGTGTTATGGCCTACCCTAATGACTTGTTTTAACTTAATTACCTCTTTAAAGACTCTATTTCTAAGCAGTCACATTACAAGGTTGTGGAGGGTTAGGATTAAATATATGAGCAGGGCAGGGGGGCAGGGGTGACGTGCATGATGGGGAGGTTGGTTCTACTTGGGGTCACCAAGCCTGATGAGCAGATTGCCTGATGTGATTTCAAGGCCCTTTAGCAGAGGAAGTGAGGGTAAGCATTGGGGCTTGATTTTATTTAAATCTCAGATGTGGATTTTGTAGTTGTAAAACATCATAGAGCTTGATTCCGTATATAATTTGGAGTTTCTCAGATATGCCTTTTTTCCTTTCAGAATTATTAGAATTATGCTTCATGTTGAAATTCTAGGTCTTCTCACCCTACTGAATGGGAAAAAAATATCTTTGCACTCTATACAACAGATAAGGGACTGATCACAAAGATATACAAAGAGTTCACACAAATCAACAAAAACAAAGCAAACAATCCAGTCAAGAAATGGGCAGAACTTAAAAGATACTTATCCAAAGAGGAATTGCAAATGGTCAAGAGGCATATGAAAAAATGTTCAAAATCCCTTATAATTAGGGAAATGAAAATCAAAGCCACAATACCACCTCACACCAGTAAGAATGGCAAATATCAAAAAACTAACAACTGTTGTCAAGGATGGGGTGAAAAAAGAACTCTCTTAGATTGCTAGTGGGAATGCAAACTGGTATAATCACCATAGAAAGCTGTATGGAGATTCCTTAGACTACTAAAAATGTTGCTACCATATGATCCAGCAATTCCACTCTTAGGGATCTACCCAAAGGACACAAAAATATTAATTAAAATGATACATGCACCCCTATGTTTATTGCAGCATTACTTACAATAGGTAAGTCCTGGAAACAACCCAAATACCCAAAACTTGATGATTGAATCAAGAAGATTTGGTGTATATGTGTGTGTGTGTATGTGCGTGCGCACGCACATACACATTGGAACACTACTTAGTAAACCAAAAAAGATAAACTCATGCCATTCACAACAACATGGATGGAGCTGGAAGGAATTATGCTCAGTGAAATAAGTCAGAAGGAAAAAGAAAAATATTAAATGGTTTCACTTATGGAGGAATTTAAGAGTAACAAATAAGACTTAGGCCCAAAAAAGTGTATTGTTGTTACAATACAAAACACAACAAAACAAACAGAATAATAAACTAGAGATCCTACAGGGGAGGGGGACAGAAAGGGAGCTGAAAGAGGGAGGAATGTGGGGGACTACGGTGATGACAGGTGGGCAAAAGTGGGGGAGAGGGGAAAGTAAACTTTGTTTTAAAATGAACACTAAAGTAAATAGATATATAAATAAAGTTAAAAAAATTTTTTTAATGGGCCATCCTGGTGTTGCAGTGCATTTGGGTGACGTGGGAGAGAGGGGCAAGTAAACATTGTTTTAAAATTAACAATAATGTAATATATAAATAAAATTCTTAAAGTTTGCTTTTTGTTTTTTTTTT